AGGAGACTGGAAGTTTAAACTGTTATGTGTAATAAAAAGTTGTTTGTTATTTTGTTCTTGTTAATTGGTGGTGCATGAAGGTGTCCCTATTGCCACTGTGGATGGATGGATGGTGCATTAAGCCGTTGCTATTGTCACTGTGCCCTCTCTGCTTGGTTCTGTTTGGGTCCACAGAATTTTCCTTAAAGTTATTGATGCATCTCTTGTTTGAAGAAGAGGTTTGCTTTGGACCTGTGAAGACTTCTGCTTTGGGCCCTTGAACAAAGAGGGGCCAAACCTCCTGATGTAAGACCTTCAGGGTCTGTGACACATCCTATCCTTTCATTGAATTCAACTCATTTAAGTTCAAAGTAACAAATCCACCATATCTACCTACCGTCTCTCTACCGTCTCTATCTATGCACTGATCGCTGAACTCTATATACACTTTGTATTGAGCCCAAACCTGGAACAATGCACGAGATGAAAGTTATCCAGTCGCATGATGTCAACCCATTAAATCCTGGAAAATGGAGACTATATCTGGCACCTTTACTGACTGTAAAATACAGAATAAAATGTTCAGTGGAAATGTTCTCGGCTCCATCTACAGAAACACTGTGACTCTTGGCTGTCATTATCATCTTTTATTATAATTTTGTTTAATTTTCTCACTCAGCGTGACTTTTAATGGCTCTGCAATGACGTCCATGGAAAGCGAGGTGATGATTTAGACATTTTTTGTTTACGAGCGTACTTTCACGAAACGGCCATGTAATGTACGGCCAATATGAGCGTGAGTGGAGGCAGATGGCAAAGATGGGTAACGAGGGAACGTGCTCCTTCAAGATCAACTCAAAACAAAGACTGTCACGCAAGCTTCACGGCATCTCTGAGCTCACACAGTGTTTTACCTAGAAATAAAGACCCACTTCATTATTTAACACCAGTATGAATAATAAACGTGAAACTTCTGTTGTTCTTATTCGATGTTGAACTCTTCCCTCTTTTCCTTTTCTGAGTTCGTGTCCAATTAACGTCCATCAAAGAATTCTGATCACGTTCATGGTTTTGTTTTTACTGTACTTCTGCTTATTCACATTTACAGTTGTTGTTGTTTTCTGTCTCAATCCTAGAAAGGACAAATAAGTAGCAAACAAAGGAATGCATACTCGATTGTTTTTTGTTCATTATTTACTGTAAATACCAGATTCAAAATGTGTAAATGATAAATTGTCTGAATTCCATTAAAGGGTAACTTCACTATTTTTCAACCTGGACCCTATTTTTCAGTGTTTTTGTCTATTTAGACTATTGACATAAACGCAGGTTCCCCAGTGAGGGAGAGGTCGTGCGTAGTTGAGGATGTGATTCTGGGATGTTTAACCTTTCAGGAAGCGATTACTCCTCTCTGGGTTCACGGTGGAGAGCCGGCCTCTTGCTGATTGGACTTCCCCTTAAACCAATCCATAACTCTTCTTGGGGTTAGTTACTCTGACATTTGAAAAATTAACTACAAACATCTCACTTCCTTGTATCGCCATTGTGTTCTTGAACTAGTGAATCACATCAGTGGTGTATGTGAAAGAATACTTAACTGTGTGACTATGAGGACATGATAGTGCTAAAAAAAAACAAATGTGCATCCTGAGTAAACCAGGCCTGCAAGAACTCAAATTAAATGTTAAAAAAACTACATCATTTACAGCACATCATTTATTCACTGAATATTTCTCCAGTACTTTTTGATGAATACATCATTTTTTGACAGATAAATTTGATCACAACGTCGTTAGTATGAATCAGAACCTTTGACCTCTGAAAGAAAGAAACATTTGTTTTTGTGACATAGTGACACAAAATGTTAATGAGGTTAAATGTTGAATCATTAGTGTCAGCGGAGGAGGAACCCCACACGCTCATCATATCTACAAGAAGATGGAGAATGTTGGTCAGTAATCAGCCCTCAGGCCTGTTTCAACTAAATGACCTCAGAGGACATCAGCCAATAGTCCTGTCCGCACACACACACACACACACACACACACACACACACACACCTGTCTCTCATTAGTCGGCCACTGTGATCCTGGATTCTTCTTCTGTTCTTTGGGATTTCAGTGACAAATAAAATACTCGCTGTACAAATGTCAAAACTTACAACCTGCAATGACATCAATTAAAAGAGTTAAAAGAGTCACATCCTCCCATATACAGCTTCACACTTATGAATATCCACTGATATATTTCATTTTTAATAGTCATATTACATACAACTCTGCTTCATACATATGTTTTTATATATATAAAAAAAATCTGGTAGAAAAAATATTTCTTTATGATGTTTATGAGGACATCGCAACTTGAGACATCACATAAGATCATTAGAAAACAAACCGTTTACAAGAGCCCCGGAGCATGTATATATACATATATATATACACATATATATATACATATATATATGTATATATATACTTGTCCTCCATATATTAACCTGTGTCTTAACCTTATAATAGAAGAATTTGACCCCTTGACGTATTTCATTGTAATCTTCACTCACAAGCGTTTGTTTTTCATCTTATTAATAATGTCTAGTCTGATAAGGTGGATAGTTTTTTTCCCGTCGTTTCTTAATAACTGGTATAAATGTGTCACATGATTGTCTGTCTTTTTGCATATTATCTGGCTTATGTGGTTCAAGATGCGGATGAACAACATTTTCTGGCAATGCGGTTCACATCTACTCGCAACACACGGCACACGTGGGAGCAGATTATTAGCACAGTCAGTTTGCTCTTAATCTGAACCCTATATGTAAATCACTCCGGGTTACACTGTTGAATACAAAGGTTTGAATTTAAAAATGCACCATGATAATGAGTGAAGACATGAGAAAATGCTCCAAATTCATAATCCTAAACAAGCCTTTGTGTGCTCACAGTTCTGGTGATTGCAGTGTAAATGCAAAGTGTATACAAACATGAACTCTATATATTTGTACTCTTTGTTGGACAGGCTTATTAGACATTATGCAGATATGTGAGATTGTATCTCAGTTGTCTAAACATAATGTGGCATATGTTGTGCGATTGCATCTTGGAACATTTTCCCATAGCTTAACACACAGGTTCTGAGAGTGGAACATGATCAAAGAGAGCACAAGTTAATTAAACAAAACAATTCAATAAAAGAGAGAGTTTCATTCATAGTTCAGGCCCTTGAGGAGGCCCAACTCTGCCTCTTCCTCCCCAGAGATGTCCCCATGTTCCTACATGGCGGTACTCCACGGCTGTTTGCCATCTGATACACCTTCTGCTCAAACCTTTCCCCAAAACAAATGGCCGCTCCTTCTCGGCGTGAGGTCATGACTCTGGATTTTTCGGGCGGGGGG